CCCCTCCCCCTCCCTGGCCCCGGCCCCCCCCTCCCTGGCCGCGTGCCGGCGCAGCCATGCCCCCGAAGATGATGGCCTTCTGCAAGGCCGTCGCGGCCTTCGCGCTCGGGTTCGCCAGCTTCGGTCTCGCCAAGGACGAGGAGAAGAAGACCGATTGCCCTGCCATCCGGATCGACTTGGGAAACCAGTACTCCTGCGTGGGCACCTGTAAGATCGGCCGCGTCGAGATCATCCCCCACCACGAGGGCAACCGCATCACCCCCTCGTACGTCGCCTTCATCAAGGATGAGCGCTTGATTGACGAGGCCGCCACGAATCAGGCGACCATCCACCCGTCACAGAAGCTTTTCGAAGTCAAGGACTCCACGGCGCAGAACGACATGAAGCTGCTGCCGCTCCAGATCGTCGAGAAGAACGGTAAGCCCCTCATTCACGTGGAGGCAACGTGGGAGCGGAAGGACCTGCAGCCCGACGAGGTCTCTGCCACGATCCTGACGAAGACGAAGGTTGAGACCCACAGCCTGAAGCAGGCACTCAAGGGCGAGGAGGCCGTATTGACGGTGGACTGCATGATGCCCAAGCTCGACCCCGGCGAGAGGCACCACTTGGGCTACACGTACGACATGCAGTTCGGCGCCCTCACCGCGGTGCACTCCGGCGCAGGCGAGAGGCGCGGCGAGGCGCCGAATTCTGAGCTGGCCTCGCTACCGCCACGCATTCCCCCCTCCTCCCGTTGCCCCGTCCCCCTCCTGCGATCGGCCTGCCTCGCCGTGCTAACGCTCTTTTAATTAGCGCTTCAGCGTCCCTAGCTAATGTATGCATCTTTGAATTAGGGGCGGCTGGCCCCTCCCTCCCACACCCCTTCTTCCACCTTCGCTTCCCTCCCTGCTCCGACCCCGCCCCCGCCCCCCACCGACGACCTGGCGCCATCAGCCGACCGACCGCGTGGCCGAGCACCGCGCTCAGGGCCAGCGCACCGACGCCGAGCAACGCGACAGCATCGACCACCATGGCGTCGGGCAGCGTGGCGAGCCGCAGCAGCATCAGTCCCAGGACCAACTACGGGATCATCGACATGACGCGTGGGGACCCGACGGAGCCTGCGGAGCCAATCATCACGATGCCGTGCAGCGCGGCGGGCTTCGGCAACACCTGCCGAATGCCGGAAAGCGAGACGCGCAGGATGGCGGATTCTACGGTGCAGAGTCGCACACCTTCCAAACTCGGCTTGGAGCTGGGCAGCACTACGACGCCGATGACCGCGGCGCTGATCAGCTCAACAAGCCCCAGTTCTAGCCGAACGGGGACGACATACGGCATCACTATTCTGGTCTGCCGCCGCCCGGGCTTCACGCCTCGGCACGCGCTCAGCTCGCTTCGAACGACTTCATGGACAACGAGTGCGGCTTCGGAGGCGAACGCCGCGACGCTGCGCAGCACGGCCCCCTCAGGTCGCCCGCCGGGCCCCTCGTGCTCGCCAGCGTGGAGCTGGGGATTCGAAGGCCACCTATCTCCACCCACGCCTGTCTCGACCCTTGCCTCGATACTTGGTTTTCCCTGGATGCCTGGCCGCACCCGTGGCACCGCCGTCACTTCGGCTCACCCTCCCCCTACCTCGTCCCCCCGCTCCTCTCCCTCGCCTGGCCTCGCCCCTGCCCCCTCTGCTCCTGGGCCCCCCCTTCTTGACCGCGACCCCCCCCAGCGCCTCCGCCACTCCACTGGACGGCACCCGGACGCCCGCCAGGCCTGTGCGGGCTGGCTTCGCGGACACGGGATTTCAAAGGGGCCCCGAACGGTTTTCCGGGTCATGCGAGATGCATGGCGGCCCCTCCCCCCGAGTCTTTGTGCGGGCTGGCTTCGCGGACACGGGATTTCAAAGGGGCCCCGAACGGTTTTCCGGGTCATGCGAGATGCATGGCGGCCCCTCCCCCCGAGTCTTTGCTGGGTTCCTGGCCTGCCCCTCCCTCCCCCCCTGCTCTCTGCCTGCCCTTTCCTGCTTCCGCGTCCCTCGCCCCTGCTTGCCCCCCTTCCTGCGCTCCCCTTCCTGACCTCGGCGGCGCGCACTCGATGCGTCAGGGGGGGGCTCAGGACCTCTACCACGCCCACCTCTGTCTCCCTTGTTGGGGGTTTGAGGTTTGTGTGGATCCTCTTAGGGCCCTTCCGAGGTCCGCGATCCTTGAGGAACCTGCCAGCCGCCCCCCTGCGCCGCGCGCCTCGGACCGCGCTGCTGCCGCGCGGGGGCCGCTGCCTGGCTCGTCTCGGCGGCGTACGTGGACCTACGGGGGAACATCATTTTGGGCCCTCCCGATTCGAGTTTCCAGGTGGGTCGCTGGTGCGCTGGATTTCCAGTTGGGATTCCATCTCGGGTGGGTCAATCACTCCCTTCCCGTCGAGCCCGCTTTGCTTGGGAGTCACGGGGATCAGAGTGATCAGGCATGCACTTCTTGGACGTCCCCCACTGCCACGTCCCGGCCTTTTTCCTACCTTGTCCCTTCCTCTGCCTTGTCTCCTCCAGCTCGTCCTCCTCCTGGGTACCCCCGTCTTGACCCAGGGGTCTCTGAGTGGGGGGCTGGCGCAATTCTTTCCGTGCGCCCTCCAGGCTCAATCCCGCGAGGATCCTATGTGGTGGAGGTCGGCGAGAGTTCTGCGTCCGGCTGGTTGCCTCCGGCCTTGCAGGCGCTGTCGCCCGCGCCGCCGCTCGCGCCCTCTCCGGGCTGCGCGCGCGGGGCCTGCAGCACGCCGAGCTTCGCACTGGCCAGCGGGCCAGTTCCGGCATCGCGTGCCTGTTCCGCGAGTGCGGCCGGCAGCGCGGCAGTCTCCTTCTCATTCCTTCCCGTTTCTTCTTCCACCTCTTCCTCCTCCTCCTCCTCCTCCTCATTTTCCTCCGCCTCGTTCTTGTCGTCCTCATCCTCTGCTCCGCTGATCGAGTTGGGGACC